ATGTCTCCATCATGAGACTTTGTTGTTACTGTGTCTGGCATATCGAATACTCTCGGTAGCTTGCCGGGCTCTCCGAGAGGGGCGGAGGAATCGAACTCGGGTCGGCCAAGTTAACCTCTATACTCTCTAAAAACAATTTTCTTGGGTTTATGCCCAGTGGTACTCAGGGCTTACTCTTGGCTGTGTTCAGGGATCACTCCTGGTGGTGCTCAGGGGATAATACGCGGTGCTGGTGATCAAACCTGGGCCAACCACATGCAAGGCAAGTGCCTTACCTGCCGTCCTCTATGTTCAGCCACCTGTCGTTACAGGCTGAGAGTGGACTGCTGTAGTTCATGGTCTCAGACCTTTTCTTCTGCCGAGACTATTTAACATGGGAGCCTTTGGAGTGTTTTTCAACTTGTATGCCTAGGGTGAATCCAGTGCACCAAAAATTTTGGATGAGAGTTGCCTTGTGCTGAACTCATGCTGGAGCACATGCTTTACGTGCCTGGAGCCAGTGTCCAAGCCAGGAAGAGCACCTTTACCCTGAGCACCACATTGCTGGGAGCAAACCCTAAACAAAGCTGGGGTAGCCTGAGCGCCCTTAGATGTGGCTCTCTCCCCACTAAGCCCCCACACAAACTGAACTGTTTTTTAATTAAAAAAATAATTTCTATATTCCACTCATCTTGAGGGTGGGTTCCTCCCTCAGTGCTTGGGGGTACACTCCCAGTGACTCCTGTTTCCATAATGCAGGCCTGAAGGCTTGGGGTTGGGCCTTAGCGGTCAATAGGATCACCCAACAGTGCTCAGACGTCACGCAGGTGGGGGTCTGAATTGGGGCATCAATTCTTGCCAGGTGTGCCTTTGAGTTGAATCCTGGCTTCTGTGTTATCATTAACATGAGTGATTTGTACATGGCTTCTAGTGGATGGAATGATCACTGATAGTTATCACTGTCAAAAACATCTGTCACTGTCACTGTCCTCCCGTTGTTCATCGATTTGCTCGAGCAGGCCCAGTAACGTCTCCATTGGAGACTTTGTTGTTACTGTGTTTGGCATATCGAATACGTCACGGGGAGCTTGCCAGGCTCTGCCGTGCGGGCGAGATACTCTCGGTAGCTTGCCAGGCTCTCCGAGAGGGGCGGAGGAATCGAACTCGGGTCAGCCATGTTGGGTGCGTGCAAGGCAAACACCCTACCGCTGTGCTATCACTGATAGTTATCACTGTCAAAAACATAACCTAGAATATCACAGCTCACAGCTAGCAAGTACATGGACTTTGAAAGCTGGTAGTCTGGGTTCAAAAATTCCATCGTCACCTACTTGCATTAACACTGTGCACGTCACTTAGCCCAAGTCCCATTTGCCACGTGCTTTATAAGGATGGAAAAAAATAAAAAAAACCACCACCACATGAAAAGCATTTCAAAAGCTGGGAATACGGATGCATCAGAAATGAGCTCTACAATCTCTTGTGCATGAAATACAAAGGCAACAAGTAGCACTGGTAACAACACATTTATTTCTGTACCCTGTTGTGTGAGCGGGAGGTGTTCTTCACGTTCCAATAATTGAATTAGGTTTTAACAATTAAAATTCCAAAAGGTAAACTAGTAATTTATTGTTGCTCATGAGCATAAGTAAACACACATAGTACCACATAAAGGAATTTTAAGCACTCTCAACTTCTGGTATAGTTTTGAATATGGACCAAGTATACTTTTAGCAATGGGTCTATTAGATTATCAGTATGCTTCTAAGTTCCCTGGTTCTTTCTGGACACAACAGGAAAAACTGGGGCATAACTTTTGAATATCAGAACTTCTGCAAAGATTCTTAGGAAGCTGGAAAAGGCCAATGTTATCTATAAGCCTATCCTATTTATCATATAAATGTATCGCTATTATAAATAAAATCACGGCAGGTAGTAAGTCAACTAATTGCTAGTTTGATTTTGCAATTACTTAAGCAATCTTTGAAAATAGTTCACTGTATGTGGCAGGCTACACAAGTTTACTTTTAAATAGTTTTAACTTAAGAACCTCTTTTGGACTAAAGGGAATCGTACATATTCCAAACAACTGGATGTCGTACCAGGTTGGAGTTTATATTAGAAACAGCCATTTCCAAGATACTGCGTCCTGTACGGTTTCCTTTCAGAATGTCTTTCACTCCTGGCATCAAATCTTACAGAACAGTTATTTTTAGAGAATTCAGTAAGCGCAACAAATGGGTACTCACTGCTAGCAGGTTATAAGAATGTGCTGACCACCAAGTATGAGATTTTATACTACATTAAATTAAAATTATATACTGTTTGAAATAGACAAAGAGTTCCTAGATCCTAGAAAATATGGCTAAGGAAATAGGAATCCACCCTCCAAGAAACTAATTAAGTATAGTAAAATAGAATAGTTCCCTGTCTTAGGAAAAAGTTTATTAACAATAAGGAACAACTGGGACATCATACATTATTTCTTTGGAGAATAAAGTGCAGGCTATGAAATGGCATATAAAATAATGCATAAAATAGTGCAATCTTAAGGTGCCATTATTTTCATTTGCTTCACATAGCCTATTTTCATACGTCCATCTTCTCTCAAAATTCAGCCGTAGTGACACCTTTTAGCTTATTTATTAGGCATTACTTATACTCTGTTTTACCCCCTGTGGGGCTACAGAGAATATCCTAACATTGTAACAAGTAGAATAGCGCATACATCTTGAAACTACTAGAGATTAAGGCAAGCCCCTGTAAAATTCAGTACTCAAAAAAAAAAAAAACCCCAAAAAACACACTTTACCAAAAAAAAAGTCACCTCCAAAATCAGTGGCTTTAGACCTGATGGCACCCCAAGTCTGTAAAAGTATGACTGACTTTGAAATACATTTGTGTTTTCAGACTCTGCATATTGAGAAAGAGGTTTGAAAAATGACAGGTTTTATAAACTTATGTTTTGAAATAATTCACATTTCTGAATGTGTGAAAACTAAGTCCACCCATGCTGGGAGTCCAATGGGGACAGGACCGGACAGTCTTCTCCATTTCTTAAAGGGCTTTTTCACACTGTTTCTACATCCACAGGGCAAGTCACTTTATAGGTGGGACTGACCCCTTCAAAAAGAGAAACCCCCCTGAAAAAGTCGGGCAGATACGAATAATACTTATCAACTGATGTGCTAGGACATTAACATAGAGCATTTACACTCCTGTCCTATACTCCAGGGCAGGCTGGGTCTCAAGGAGGTTAATCAACAATTTTCATGTCAGTTTCAGCTATTCAAATAATTTCTGATTTGTTGAACTCTAAATATCACCATCATCCAAAAGCAAGTACAGTAGCTATCAAATCGGTCAAGGCATAAAATCCTAGATATCTGAGTATTTAAGACTTACAACAAACAACTGAATTGTAGTGCTTTGTTCTACTGTTATGGAATGCTCATGCATGGAAGTTCATCTATGGACAGGTGGTAACAAGTATACATTCTAAGCTTAGAAATTTTGATCTGGAAACAGAAAATCTATCTTCTACAAGTGTGAAGAATCATTATGAAAGTTAAATACTCCTGGAAGTACTTACAATGGGAGACTATGGAGAGATTTAGGGTATCTAGGTGTAGCTTAAAGATAACTGAAATAAAAATCCATTAGCAACTCTTAAATAATCTGAGGTTATATCCTTTTGATGCCTAAGGATCGTACTTTATAAACCTGTAAACATGTACTTTGTTACTTAAAAAAGTCTTCCTATAACCAGGAAAGCAGGCTATCGGTAAAGGCCATGGTACTCCTGCAGGCTTCCTCTAAAATTATAATATGGCTAAATCCTACAATTACAAAAATGAGACCTGCTGAGAAAATGAGATCCAGACGGGGACCTTTATGGATGACCTTGGCTGACAAATGTTTTTTTGGAAAATGTTTATTTTAAAATTACCTTCCCAACAAACCATGAAACACTTGGATGGTACTTTATGTTTTTTTTTTTTTCATTGAAAACATACTACATTATAAATGGAGTTTCAAAGTCAGACATTAAATTGAATAAAATCTAAGGACAGTATTAGGTAAGGACAATATTAAAAATGATTAAAAAAAAGTTTCATTTGGTGAAGTGTTTCTAAAGGATGCATAACCATGTTATACTGGACAGATTAAAAAGAAAAGTGGTTACCTTGTGCTTTTATTCAACTAAGGTACTTACCAAAACCTTGTATTTCACACAGGTGTCAAAACTCCCACCTGGGAAGGGATAGTTTTCTACATTACCCCTACATTTATTTTAAATAACTGAAGCCCAAGGCAACAGTTGTTTAATAAAACTTGTTCAAATAATAACTACATAATTTAGTTCATTAAAATAAAACTAGGACAGTAATTGCTGAACGTCTCAAAAATATACAACTGGGTTAAAGAACCACTGTACATAATCTGGAGGCTGTTAAAGTGACCACTTCGAAGGTTGAACAGTGCAAGACACGCTTTTCCAGTTACAAGCTCAATACAGGAGTGCAAAAAAAAAAATTAAAGCTTTTGTTGAAAGTTGCAGGAAAAGGGAAGCTTGAGATCAATATTAAAAAGCTTTCCCTGAAGGTCACCCCCCCAGAAATGAAATGATCAAAATTCCTGTTGAATGAACAATTTTCTTCAGTTAACTTGCTTCCAATGGCAAAACTGCATCCCCCGAGTTGGGTCCCCACAGGGTCACCACATTTGATCAGAGAGCCATGCATAGTGGTGAGGAAGGACCAGTATTAGTTCCCAGAGGTCTGATACTGATACGCAAGAGGCTCGCAATGTGGGGTTCTGCCTTAGCCAGTGTACCTGAACCCTACAGAGAATAGACAAAGCAAAGGGCTTTCATATTTTGCTCCTGTGAAAGTGGACGACAGACGAACAAATCCCACCCCCAGAGGCAAGCTGTTGTGGTGGAAGATGCTAAGGTAAGCACTTAAATAAACCGAGACACGGCTCTACAATGTGGGAAAGAACAGAGGTTCAAGATCAAAACCAGTGCAAGAGCTTTTTAAATGAGCTGACTGGGCAATGCATGCATCCATTCATGCAAATGTAGGACACGGCCCCAAAAAAGAACGAAATATGTATAGAACAACTGGGTAAGTCTCCTTGCCAGTAGTTTATAAAAATATATAGTCAATACTGTAGAGGCCCATCTACAGCCAATACTATAGAAGTCCATTTTAGTTACCCATTACTTCAATACCAAAAAGCATTTACTACTTTTCAGACATTCCAGACAAAGGTCACTTATAACAAAAAGTCAACTTTTTTTTTTTTAAAACAAGATACTGTCCATTAAAAAGTAGATCTTTTCTTTCAAGTGAACAGGACATTTTCTGTATTGAACTTAACTTCTAGTCTGTCGAGACTGGTTCGTTTAAGATCCTTACGTAATGTGCATATATGCAGAAACAAACTTTTAAACATTATCTGCACAGAAAAAAGTTAACTCCTCAAAACATGATAGAGCAAGTCTGGTTAATACAAATCTTTTGCAAAGTAAAAAGATTCTGTGCATCAGTTCCACCAGGAGAAGCAGAGAAAGACTGTCCCAACCATGAACGTTCAAGTTTAAGTTGTGTTCTGAGAGCCTAGAAGCCTAAGGGACACCGTGTGGCTCACAGGGCCTTGACATGAAGAACTGCTTAAGCCACTAAGCCAAGGTCTTCCTCTGGAGCTAGAACCACACTCCAATTTACTTCCTATTCCGGAGACGTTTTGATTTCCTAAGAGAGTCAATGGCTTCTGCTGCCTTTTTCCTCTTCCGGGGAGACTCTTCGTTCTGCCTAGACCCAGAGGCATTGCCCACAGCACTTTCCATCACTTCTCGGAGCTTGCGTTCCAACTCCGCCAGTCGTGAGTTCTGTTCACCTATGATCTGGGTCTGCTCTAGCAGTTTCTGGTCCTGGTCCTGAAGCTGTTTCTGCTGCTCTTGCACTTTGGTGCGAAGCTCAGAAATTTCACGCCTGAGAACTGTCACCCCGGCACCATTTGTCTTCACCTGCTGCTGGAGTTTGGTGACCTCCTGTCTTGAGGGGTTCTGCTTGGAGAAGAGCTGCATGGTTGTTAGGGCTGCAGAAGGTCCTGGAACTGCAGAGAGATCATTTCAGATGGTCAATGACTTGACATCACTAAGAAGAAGGTTCTTTTAAATGAAACTTAGAGTGAAGTGTCTGGGCTGGGGTGACCCCCGAGCACAGAGTTGGAGAATCTCCACACAACGGGTATCAGAAACATCATTTCGGACTCTTTCTTCTTTCACAGTGTTTGCAGTCTAATGGAACAATCTGATACTTGTCTTACCTGTGAGTTTGAATTTTGATTTTCATGTTCTAGTGGGAACAGGTGGATGGCCAGCATATGAAAGGCATTTAATGGACTCAATATATGTACTGGAGATATGATAAAGTGTTTTTCAGAATCTAGTAAGAAAATTAAAGTAGTGAAACCAGGGCTGGGGAGATGGCCTAGGGTTTAGGACATGAACCGTGGTGTGCCTCACTGGCACACCCAAGCACACAGCCCAAGCAACAGAAGGAATTCCTGGGCCCAAGTAGGAACCGAATGGCTCGACTGGCTAAGAGTCACAGGAGAGACCCTGGGGCCCCATTGAGCACCTCTTGGGAGTTCCCCCAAACCAATAATTGTGAAATCAGGATGTTATTGTACACTAACTTCATGTAAACTTATATATGAAGTATCACATCCTATCAGAGGCACAAACTAAGTTACATATGAAGGCTTTTTATTTTAATAGGGCACCACTCAGCAGTGTTTGGGTTTTGAGTGTGATGTGGTTCTAGGGATCCAGCCAGGATCTCTCCCATACTAAGCATGTGCATTACTGCCCGAGCCTTATCCTGGCCCCTGCAAAGGCTCCCAGTACCCCAACCCAGCAACAGGGAGGCCGTCAAATTGTGGGTTCTCTCCTACATGACGGTTATGAAAAATTCTTAACAAAAGGGGCTGGAACGATGGTACAGCGGCTAGGGGGTTTGCCTTGCATATGGCTGAACTGGTTCGATTCCTGGCATAGCATATAGTCCTCAGAGCACTGCCAGGACTGATTCCTGAGTGCAGCGCCAGGAGTAAGCCTGGAGCAGCTCTGGTGTGGTCCAAAATCAAAACAAACAAAATTCTGTCTCTACTATTTATTTGGCTTATTAAATGACATGCTGTTAAAATATTCCTCGTGTCTATAAAAATCTAATTTTGAGCCTGGATGTGTCTTACCTTTAGGACCGTAAGATGCTTGAGAGCAGACATCACATATTACACTTAATTTTAGTCTCAAGAGGACACAGACGTGCTGTGTGTATAACGGGCACTCAACAAACACATTAATGCTGAGGAGTCTGTGCCTATTATTACCAGAGAACCAATGGGTAACCACAAGTAAATCCAGTGAGCTAAGAGATTTTACTAATTCTTCTCTCCTCCCTGAATCAAGAGTATCTGCGAGTTGAAGATACGGAACAATTCAGAGAAGGGTACAGATTCCTAGGAGCCAATGTATTTTTGCAGAGTAACCACCAAAGTGTTCAAAGTAGCCTCATGCCCTGACTTTTAGCAGCCAGACAATTGTTTGTGTGTGATACTTCACTAAGCTGTTCCATGCCATGCACACACATTTGCCAAGCAACGATTCATCAAGAGTTGTGAGTATGCACAAAGGTTCAGCCACACAAGTGTTCTGAGTGCAAAAAAAGTAGAGACAAATAACTGGAGTGCTTCAGCGAACCAAAATGTTATCTTTAACCCAACCTGTCATTGAAAATTATGTTGCAGATACTTTCATGCAGACCTAAGTTCAAGGTATATGGTTAATCAGGAAAAAGAGGTAAATTATGAAAGCCTGAATGTTACTATAAATCAAATGTATTATGAACCTGTGATACCTGGAGGAGAGCCCATAAGTCTTCCAGATACATCTGATCCTGGTAATTTCCTCTTTAGAATTGGAACAATCTTTTCATCAAAGTATTCCATGGCCATGGAGGAAATATCCCTTAACTCCTGAAGTACTTCATGAGCTCGCTGAGGGGTTTTGGTAGAATTGACATATCTCAACACATAATAAATCTCATCGATCACCTAAAATGAGGAATTCTTATTAGTAGTTTCTGTTAACAACAACAACAACAACAACAACAACAACAACCACCACCACCACCACCACCACCACCACCACCACCAAGTAGTTAAATAGAGTGAGAAGAGACAGATGGTTTGGCTTTCCTTCCGGCCTTCTTAGGGGTTGGCACAAATGATGGTGCTCAGAGGCCACTCCCTGATGGTGCTTGAGAGGACCGTGCAGTGCAGAGGCCTTAATCCGGTCTCCCACAAAGCTCTTTCCCTGGTCCAGGTTAGGGCTTACTCCTGGCTTGGCAGTCGGGGATTGCCCCTGGCTGGGCTCGGGGGACCATATTTGGTGCCAGGGATCAAATCAGGGGCAGCGGCTTGCAAGGCAAGCACGAAGTTCTATACCACTTCTGCGGTTCTGTCTGGAGATTCCTGTAAGACCTAACAATAATTAACTCCTACTCTAGTCACTAAGGATGAAGCCACCTAGAACATAAAGCTTTGGGCTTGTTAAGCTTTATATATTTCACACTTTCATGAAACAGGAGGGGATTGTGTTAAGTGATGTCAGGAGGAGAAACAAAAACTGAGCGATGTCACTCATATGGAAGAAACAAGTGTTTTGTGCAACGAAAACAAACCCACAGAGCAGTCTTTCCCAACAGGGCCAGAACCACCCGCTATGGCAGGGCAGAAGCCTAACAATGGAGGCGAGCACTGAGTCCTTATTTTTTTCTGAAAAAATGGGGGCTAGCCTTGAACTCTGCCTTAAACTGATCTGGAGTGGGGAGTGGGCTGTACGGGTCCAAAGGGCTGTGATGGAGAGCAACCCCTTTGCATGGTAGATGTGGTACCACTGGAGACCCAGAACATTTATATATGTGCAAGCCAATGTTACTAATAAAATATGTTCAGGAAGGAAAAAAAAAAGAATGGAATCATGTATGTGGGTTGGGATAAGGATGGGGGAATTCACGCAAACCCACTTTGTTCCAATCTGGATCTGATTCCATGGTGCCTGGGCCACAGCCTCTTTCCCACCAACCTCACGTGCTCTGTCCTTCACAGGTTTCTCCCTCTAAGACACACGACAACCGAGATCCCCAAAGATGCTACTATCCTTCTCTCAAGGGTCACGAGAAAACTTCTTTGGTTTAAATAATGATTATGATAGCAATACAAGGCATAGGGGCAGAGAGACAGTACAGCCAGCAGGGCACTTGGCTTATACACTTGGGTTCGATTTCAGCATCCCATATGGTCCCCCAAGCACTGAAGAAGTAATTCCTGAGTGCAGAGCCAGGGGTAACCTCTGAGCATCACAGGGTATGGCTCAAAAAACAAAAAAGAAATATAGGACATAAGAGAATTGAGGAGGACAAAGTTCTTGCTCTGTCTCTGTTTCTGAATCTCCTATAACAGCACAACTTCCTTAGGCATTTTGTCCCTCAGCGTCTATCTTGGGTGGCTATTCTTAATACTTCCCATATTTTAGCACAGATCAGAGACAGTAACTCATCTCTCTGAGCCCTCCGCATTATTTTGTTTTGTTTCTGAGCCACACTCGGTGGTGTTAAGGGCTTACTCCTGGCTCTGCGCTCAGGGATCACTCAACTCCTGGTAGAGCTCAGGGGAACATATGGGGTGTCAGAGATGGAATTCAGTTGGGCTACCTTAACCCCCATACTATCTCTCCAGCCCCTGAAGCCCTCCAGTGTGTGGGCTTTAGTTCACTGGGTGCAGGTTAATCAACCAATTTTGTCACCTGCTTAACAAACATTCTTGAATGTTTCCACATTTATCTGCCCATTACCCAATTTATCTAGGCATTACCCAATCTCAAAATCTGTTTTCTCTTGTCCTTTTCTCAGGCATCTAAGTACCTCTGCAGAAACATACAATCTAGCAGAACATTTTTTCGACAACCCACAGTCTTAAACATTTCTTCCATTCTTGATGACACAGGATATTCCCTATCAGTTGGTTCTCAGTGCCAGCAAGAATTAGGAGGCCAGAGACAGTACAGTGGATAGGGCACTAGACTTGCACGTGCCCGCTACCTCCAAAGGTACAAGTTTTAATACAATATATCAGTTCAAAGATTTAAAAAATGTGTTATCTATACACAATAAGAAACAATGATATAATAAAAAATTAATAAAAATATGTATTAATGTTCCCACTCCCCAATGGTTCTTTATATTGACAAATTCTATGTAAGTTATATGGTATTATGTTTTGTACTTATCAAAAGCTTTTTTGGTCAGGCCATAAAGGGCAGTGACAGGGAGTGTTTGGGGACCAATCCTGGCAAGGATCTGCAAGCAAAGCATGCACCCCAGCCTTTCAGCCTGGGTCCCTATTTATCTTATACATAGGGAAGTCACAGTCATATTCTGCTCCCTCAAATCCCCAAAGCTAGGCAGCTAAATCCCTGTCTAACTTCTTTTAAAGGTGCCCCCTCCCTCCACCTCCCTGCATACTTTTGTTTTATTCAGTGTTTTCATGATCAGTTTGGTGATTCTCTTCTCTGAACTCAAAAGATGCCTTGAAGGGCTGGAAAGGCAGTACAGGGTGGAAGGAGCATCCCCTCACATAGCCACCTGGTTCTTAGCATCACGGTGCTGTGCTGGCAGCCCCCGGGATCATGTTCTCACACTGACCACTGGCCTGGCTGGCCTACCATCACCACGTGAGGCTCCACCCAACAATTGCTGGCAGCCTCCTCCCCGCCGCCAACTCCCCAAAAAAGTGTATTACAGAGGAAGAGGTCTCTGGAAACAATGAGGTTAGATCAATTCTTTCTTCATTTTATTTCTGTGTGTGTGTATGTGTGTATGGGGAGACGATCCAGTGGCCACCATGAACTCTGGGGAGGTAGTGCTTGATTAGATCAATTCTTTCTTCATTTTATTTCTAGGTGTGTGTGGGGTGGGGTGTGGGGGGGGGGGGGGAACGACACGATCCAGTAGCCACCATGAACTCCAGGGAGGTAGTGCTTGATATTTTTTCATTGTAAAGGTTCATGGGGGCCACAGTGATAGTACAGTGGGTAAGGCATTTGCCTTGCACGCTGCCAACCTGGGTTCAATTCCTGGCATCCCATATGGCATCCTCAGGTACTGCCAGGAGTAATTGGTGAGTGCAGAGCCAGGAGTAAGCCCTGAGCATCACTGGGTGTGACCCAAAATAGCAAAACAAAGCAAAAAAACTTCATGAACCAGGGAGATAGCTCAAAGCACTAGTATGTGTGCAGAGTATGTGGGAGACCCAGTTCCAGCCAAGCACTGCACGGTTCCAAGTACATGCAGGGAGTAATCACTGAGCACCACTGGGTGTGGGCCCTCTATCCCCAACAAAGACATAAATGGTTCATGGATTGTACTGATTCTGGGACCAGTGTAGTAAATGGTGGAAATGGCCTCAAATAATTCTGATTTTTAAGAATGCCTTCAGTTTACAGGCAATTTTTACTTTTTATTTCCCCCCTTGTTTAGGGAGGTGTCCCGAGCACTGCTCAGGGATGCTAGGGTCACTCCCAGAGATGCTCAGGCCAGCTGGGTCAATGCCTGACCTGGAGACGTGGCGCTGCTTAGGCCTGATGGTGGTGGGGGGTACCCAGGCCAAAGATGGCAGCGCCTGCCATGCAATGCAGGGTCAAACCGGGGCCTTCCCATGTCTCCCTGGACCCTAAGTAATTTTAGTATATACACTGCTGAAGCAAGCATTCTAATTTTAACAAACACAACTTTCTGCAAATATCCAATCAACTCAAATTGAAGGCTGTTTTTCAAAACAGCTGATCTCTGTACTTCAAGAAATAGACCTATTCCAGACGAAAGAACAAGCTATCTACACATAATCCCCAACTGGACTCTGGACTGAGGGAAAAAATACAAAGAAAGGACTACCCATTCCTGTGAACAGTTAACAGCAGGGACTATCCATGTGTTCTTCTAGTACATTTCCCAGAACAACTACTTGTTCTTTGTTTGCATGCCCTAGAGGATGTGTGAACCGCTCACACTGATCATGAGAATTTACTGCAGTAACTTTGACTTCTGTATGGCAGACAGAAGGAAGGAAAAAAACCCCCACAGAAATGAGTCAATAATCTAACTACTAATTTCTGAGATGGGTCAAGGTGAGAATCTGTGGTTCTCACCTTAATCTGTGTCTTCTTTGTAAATAAAGTTGAATTTTTAATAACAAGCCACTCATTTGCCCTGGTAACGATGGTGATCTGAGTTAAGTATCTGTGACAGGTCATGAGCCCATGAAGGCAAAACCATTCATTCCGAGCCACTCATGGAGAGTCTGCTGATTCCTACACACATAATACTGACAAAACACCGATCAATCTGAGTTCTTTTGACAGACTTAAGACTCCATTTTAAATTGCCAAGAACATTTTCTTATCATTGATCCTAACCAAGAATAGAGAGCCAGCTTCTATAAAGGTCCCAATGCTACTGCAAGCCAGAAGGGATGTCACAAACTTAGCAACATTTACTGGTTAACAAAGGACCAAACTGTCTTTGAGACTATGAAAACTGATGAGTTTTCTTAAATATTTGTCTCATAGCAATGAGGTATGTAATAAAAACTATGTAGTTACATGACATAACTTATATCACTGGTTCAATAACCTTATCAGGAACTCCTCTAGTTTGTAAAATGTGAATAAAACTCTGGTATAGGGGCTGGGTAGAGCGTTTGTCTTGCACGTGGCTGACCCGGGTTTGATTCCCAGCATCCCATATGGTCCCCCCAAGCACGGCTAGGAGTAATTTCTGAGTGCACGAACCAGGAGTAACCCCTGTGCATCACTGGGTGTGACCCAAAAAAGCAAAAAAAACAAAAAACAAAAAAAGAAACAACAAACCTCTGGCACATATTTTAAACTAGAACTTTTTAATACTATCCTACATTTGTAATATTCTGCAAGAACTGAGGATCATCAAGGAATATTTCAAATAAAATGGTAACAGGTCCCTCCCTCCCCCAATATCACACAAAATTAAAATGAAGAAAATATGTAACAAAATAATGCCAATGTTTGTTATTGACCAAAAATAACAAAAAGAGATCATTCAAATTTTAGTAGTAATGAATTTCAGCCATGCTAAGGGGTTCTTTTGTCAGCATCAACTAAGCAGAAAAATGACCAAGCCCCTTTCTATTCTTCCAATATATAAAGTTATAGACACAAAAGAGAAAAAAGACAAAAAGAGAAAGACTGGGGCTGGTGATGTGGTTCAAGGGAAGCAGATGCCTTATAGGATTCCCAGCCGCCTCAAGTCCAAAATACAACAGAAAGGAAAACAAAACAATACACACAGATTTCACCTGAGCACATTCATTTCAAAAAGATAACGCTAAAGGTATGAGCAGAATGCTGAATGTTAGGGTTTTACTTCATGTGACAGCAAGCAGATCTCAATAAACTTGTCTTTCTGCTAAACAGCATCGTTTCTTGGCTTTGAGTATAGTTATATAGTTAATTACTTATTCTTGTTAAATCTGGAAATTTTTAGGTTGCCTTCATGAAATATTTCTGAAGAAAACAAGAACCCAGTTTGTCCCTCCTACACTACCACCTCCTCAAAATTATAATGATCTTGAAGGCAGAGACATTATTTTGTTCATTGTCCTATCTCTGCTATCTTTTTGTTTTTGGTATTAGGGTCACATGGGTAGTGCTTCGAGGCTACTCCTGGTTCTGTGCTCAGAGGTCCCATTGGTACCCAGGGGGAACATGCAAGGTGGTAGGAACTTATTTGCCCATTGGGCTGCATGTACTATTTTTTTGCGCCTTTTATTTCTTGTATCTTAAGAGTGCAAACTCAAAAGGTTTTTACTGAATTTATAATGGGTTTCTAAAGGAACAGTACGGTTTCTTATTATGATGATACTGGGAATCAAATCCAGGACCTCACATAAACAAGGCACATTACTACCAAGCTATATTCCCAGCCAACTATAGTGTGACTTGCGTGTATTTGAGTAGAGTTTTCAATATAAAGATCAAATAAGTGACATATAATTCATATAAGTTACTATACAAACACATTCACAGAATCTTAGAGAAGTAGGAACAATCATGATATTTAAAAATTCATCTTAGGGGCCAGAGCAATAGTACAATAGCCGATTGCTGAATTGCTGACCTGAGGCTGAACTCAGGCTGATCTGAGTTCGATTCTCAGTATCTGAGCACTGTGAGGAGTAACTCCTGAGTGCAGAGCCGGGAATAAACCCTGAGCATTGCTGGGTATGATCCCCACTACCCCAACCCCCACCAAAAAAATTCACTTTAATCCCGAGCAAAGAAGGCAGGATGAAGCTCTGAACACTACCAAGTGTGAGCCACAACCAAAAAAGTAACAAAACAAAAACTGCTTTATAATAATATACAGTTCGCAGGGACTAGTGAGCAATCCAGCTGTTTAAGGTAATCAATTTCATTTTACCTTTCCTGGGATGAAGCAACAGAGGTTAGAATCCACATACTTCATGAAAGTCATATTTAATAGTGATAGTCTTGTTTCAACAGCAGCAAGGATGTCTGCATGACGAGCTAATGAATGGTTTCTCCTTTCTGACTCTCTCCTATGATTAAAAGAAGCAACCATTACAGGAGTAGTGTGAGCCGAGGTTAAAATGTTAAACAGTCAAATGCCTGACTAAAATAGTCTAGCCTTTACATGTGAATTTAGAAATCTACAATTCAGTCATAATTTAACCTTAGTAAATGAACTGCTATTCAGAAATTTCTGCCAAGGATTCACTCATAAAATACTTGAAACATTTTTTGGTTTTGTTTTGTTTCTGGCTGTATATACTGTATTCTGTATGTTCCAGTAGCATATGTTCCAATAGCCTACTTGAATCAGATAAATAAAAGAATTACATGGGGACAAAGATGAGACCATATGTTTTGCTCAAAATCAGTTTCTGACTGGGGCTGGAGCGAGTACAGAGGGATCGGGGTCTTATCTTGCACACAGCCAACCAGGTTCGATCTCTGGCACCACAGTCACCACAGGAATGATCCCTGAGTACAGAGCCAAGAGTTAAGTCCTGAGCATAGCCAGTGTGATCCCCAAACAAAACAAATCATTGATTAGGACCAGAGATAGTACATGGGTAAGGTGCTTGCAAACCCTGGTTTGATCCCCACCCCCGCCCCGTCACTGAGTACCCTCAGGAGTGACCCCTGAGCATGGAATCAGGAATAAGCCCAGAAAACAGGCAGATGTGGGTGCTTGCCATTCTGACACCACCCCCCCACTCTCCCTCCCCGCCAAATTGTCAGGATGCTTAGATCCTTTGCCTGTCTCTGAACTGGGGTTTTCAAATGTTGATCTGCATGGCTGGCTACTATGATCTGGATGCAAATATCTTGGTAGCCACTTGAGTTTTCACCCATTTTCCCACTTATTCTTGAAGAGTCCTTTAAGGTAGAGAGATCTATTTTGATTTGTTTGCTCTTGGTGTCATCACCAAGAAACCATGACCAAATACAAATTCACGAAGCCTCTGGAGCATTTTTTTTTTTGGAAACAGCATTTTGTGGGTGCTATGGATCAGACCCAGGGCCTTATACATGCAAGGCAAGTGCTCTTGACTCTCCAGCCAGAGCCCCAGCTCCCCCCGGCTAAGATTAATGGCACAGTACTGACACTTATGTACATCTCTGTAGGATAGTCTGCATTCATCCTCTAGATGAGGAAGCAGGGGTTCAATGTCATTCCTGGTTTTACATATCTAGATGTATACTGGAAATTGGACTGCAAAGTGCGAGTTCTACCACAGAGCTATTCCTGGGCTGCAATTCCCGTCATTTGCATACATCTAGAAACTCAGCTGCCTACATTTTTCTTTTCTTTTTGCTTTTTGGGTCACACTTGGCAATGCTCGGGGGTTACTCCTCACTCTGCACTCTGGAATTACTCCTGGAGGTGCTCTGGGACCATATGGGATGCTGGGGATTGAATGTGCATTGGCTGTGTGCAGATGAAATGCCCTACCCACTGTACTATCGCTTTGGCCCTGCCTACATTTTTCTTAAGTTCAGGTGCGGCCTCCCAACAAATGCTCAAAGTGCTTTGAGTGACTCCCAGAGAAACATGGCTTAGCTGCTTGGGCCTGAGCGGTGCTGCTGGGGGCCAGCTGTGTGGCGGGCCATTAGGGTCACACCTGGCAGTGCTCGGGATAGCTAAGTATGCCAGGGATGGAAGCCAGCACGAATTCAGTCCTCCGACCAAGCTCCCCGGGGTGCTCCCCAAAACACTTTTATTAATCCAGTGACTTGTCTTGACTTCCTTGTTAAATCTTGAATTAGAAGTAATTTTCTTCTTTTCTTTCATTTTAATTCCACAAATTTATATAAGCACATCTTTGTGCCAATACCACGTTTGATTACTATTAGTTCTTTAGGCAAGTTTTGAAATTTGTTAAGCAGAATCCTCCAACTATGGTTTTTTCGTGGTTGTGTTGGTTATTCTGAGTCTTTTATATTTCAACTGAAATCTAAACCATTTCAGTTAGAAAAAAAAAAAAAAGACAAGAGGGGCTGGAGAGCAGGCTCAAATGGTAAGGAAGTCCCCAAGTCAGACTTCCAACACTGCATGGTCCCACCTACTGCTAAATGTGGTCAAAACCCAAAAAAGGCAAGTAGAATTTTGACAGGGATTACACGGAATGTATAGACCAATTTGGATTGTATTTCCATCTTAATTGAAATCTTCCAGTTCATGAACATACATATTTCCACTTTTCTTCTTTTTCATTTTTGAAAACGTAATTTTTTGGGGGAGGGCTGGGGAGGGGAACACCTGGCAGTGCACACAGGATAGGTGGAGTTAGTTTTACATCTTCCTTCTCAACATGAAGGCCTTTGTATTATCCTGCCTAACTGCCCAGCTGAAATTTCAGCAAAATGTACAAAGGAAAGGACAAACTGGGACCAGAGATTATACAATGGGATAGGCATTTGCCTTGCATGTGGCAGGCCTGGGCACCACATAGGGTGCCCGGTGCACGGCCAGGAGTGATCCTAAGCACGGAGTCAGAACTAAGCCCTGAGAACTGGTGGGTAGGAAGAAATTTGGAAGGACAAATCAGTTAAAAAAAAAATTGTCAATTGTCATCTGCATACCGTCTGCTTAAAAACCTTTGAAATCCTTAACATGCAAACCCTTAGAGTGATTAAAAAAAGTTATTTGGGGCATGAGATAATATGACGGTTAGGAATTTATTTATTTATTTTGCTTTTTGGGCCACATCTGGTGATGCACAGGGGTTATTCTGGCTCTTCACTCAGGAATTACTCCTGGCGGTGCTTGGGGGACCATATGGGATGCTGGGAATTGAACCGAGGTCGGCTGTGTGCAAGGACAATGCCCTACCTGCTGTGCTATTGCCCCAGCCCCGGCGGTTAGGGATTTATCTTGTGTCCTGCCAAACCCAGTTTGATCCCTGGCACGACAGAGTTTCCTCCCAGCATCCCTGGAAACAACCTCCAAGCTCCCAGGGTTGAAAGCAGACGCTGAGCACAGCCAGGTACAGCCCAACCCCTACCCACAATGAAACCCCCGATGAGAAATCACTGTCACTCTCACCATAACATACCTCGGGAGTTGTGCTTTAACTTGTTTCTGACATAGATTATGGTACCTCTCCACTTTTAGAAATCCCTGATTTAACATTCTCTGACAAACCAAGTCCATTCTTTTACAAACCTATGGGAAGAGAGGAGAAAAAGTTTGAAAAATAAAATAAAGCACAACAAACAGTGAACTTAGACTCATACCAGATGGCTGAAACTTCTCTGTGCTAGTATTATTCCCCATTTTGCTGCCTGAACCTTTGAATTAGTACACACCTGTACTGCTCGTTGCAATTCTTTTTTTTGGGGGGGGGGTCACACCCTGCTATGCTCAGGGGTTATTCCTGGCTTTGCACTCAGGAATCATTCCTGGCGGTGCTCGGGGAACCATATGGGATGCTGAGACTCGAACCCGGGTCGGCCGCATGCAAGGAAAACGCCCTACCCACTGTACTATTGCTCCAGCCCCTCATTACAATTCTTGCAATACTGCACTGAGAAATTAGTGTTCTATGTAGGCAAGGAATATTTTACTCTTTTACTTATTTGTTAAATATTCTGAATATATACTTACTACCACGGTCAACGGACAACATTCCTGCAAACCAGTGTAAGAGTAGTATCAGTTTTTTATGATCTGAGACCAAAAAAAATTGTTTTCTTCAGCTAAAAACATGCTTTCAAAATTGTGTCTAGTCCCTTATAAAGCATATATCCTTTATTACCAGAACTAGCTATTTGTTGCTGTTGCTGTTTTTGGGTCAAACCCAGCAATGCTCAGGAATTACTCCTGGTGGTGTTTGGGGACCATATGGGATGCTGGGGATCGAACTTGGGTTGGCCAAGTGTAAATCAGGTGCCTTACCCGCTATACTATCACCCTAGCCCTGTATTACCTAATGAGAATTCTTACTAATTCTTGGTTTTCCAAGGAGTGTTCCATGATGGCTAGTTTACATACTAGAGTAATATTTTCCAGAAGTATTTACCTAGTAGGTGGCCCCAAAGTTCAGGGAGGAAAAGGAGAGAAAGAGAGGAGAGGAAGGAAAGAGACCAAAGAGACGCAATAGGGCCTGTGAGTGAGGGGATTCAGGTACAGAGGTGGTATTAAGGAATGACAGAGTCAAGTATCTAAACCACAGAGTCAACAACACTGAAATCAAGAAACCCTTAACAACTGATTAATTTTTATTTTTAATTTTTATTAGAAATATGGTAATTCACAAAGTTGTTCATCATACAGTTGTTTCAAGCATTTAGTGTTCCAACGCCACCCGTGTGATCTTCCCTCCACCAATGTCCCAGTTTCTTTCCCAATCCCAACCTATTCCCTTAGGCGCGTAACAAAGGTACTTTATATTTCTTATTCCAACAAAACTTTAAGAAATGGCAAACAGAATGATCAGAAAATAATCCAGTAAGAGCCAATTTGCAATTACTACATAGTTTTGACTTATGTAAATAAGAAAATTAAAACCATTTAATATAATAAAATGCTGTTTTCATTTACATATATTTGTTTTCAACTCTGGAATCTAAAGTATATTACATTAAATTTTATTTTATATGTGGACCTTATTATGGGACTAGTCATATCTCATTTGTCACTAATAAAATTTTTAAAGCAATTGTGTTAATATATTTTGGAGTTTACACGGAATAGGTAAGGCCTACATATGTAAATTCCCCTCATGCTTCTTTTTAAGGATCTAATAAGGTTTACAAAGTGTTCATGCTGATTTGTTAGAGGCATTCAGTACTACAACACCAAGCCCACCACCTTCCTTCCACCACTGTCTCCAACTTTCTTAACCACCTCTCAAGTCTGCCCCCACAACAGCCGCCAATAACTTATTTTTATATTGCCAATAACCAAATTTAGAAAGGTCGCTGTCAAGAGGGCAGGCTGGGGAGTGGAGTGGGGTGGGGTGGGGATATGGGAGGGAACCTGGCAATATTGGTGGAGGGAATTTGACACTGGTGGTGGGACTGGTGCTGCAAAACTATTTATCTAAACCTCAACTATGAATAACTGTAAATCATGTTACTTTAAAATTTTTTAAAAAAGTACCTATTAGGCACAGCAGAACCCCAATTACTCTGAATTCTTAATGAACATGATGCTTATAAATAATGAAAGCACAGACTCCTAAATCAGAATGCCTAATTGCTTTTTGTGGACTGTGTGTGTTTGGGCCACACTCACAGTGCTCAGGGGTCCGGGGGAATCAAACGTGGGTTGGCCACTTGCAAGATAAGCGCTCTGCCCACTACACTCGACTTTCAGCCCCCAGAACGGCTAAATTTATTTCCAACTTTTATGCAATCTTCACCAAGTTAGCCACTGAAGCTAGAATCAACCATTTGTAAAATGTTAACAATACCTGACATCACTGGAACGTTAAAGCAATAAATGCCAAATCACTGGTAAAATCTAACTTAAAACTATTTGTTTAATTTTTGTATTAAATCAAAACTTCCTTCTTGTATTTATTTTTCCAAGACATCCCTTATCTTAATGAACCTTACCACACAAAATCTGTTCCTTGATCCCTAAGAATTCTGCAAAGACTCAGCAAACAGAATGTTAATTCTCACTGTACAGGAAGAGATGGCTGCTGGAGCGATAGTGTAGCAGGTAGGGTGCTGGCGCTGCATGCAGCGTATCTGGGTTTGATCCCTGGCTCCCCACATATGGTCCCCAAGCCCTACCCGAGTACAGAGTTAGTAGCAATCCCTGAGCAATGCTGGGTGTGGCCCAAAACTAAAACCAAAACCGAACTGCAACAAACAGATAAATCTGTATCAAGGCCAAACAGGGTGGTCTTATATTTTCTACCTCTCTGAGCATCCAAACCCAAGTGTACGACAAATACATGTTAAAATAAGATGTTGAATCATCTGAAATGACTTTAGCTTTTCCCTGAATGTAGAGGGATATTTCACATATAGGAAAATACAATATAGGGATAATGTAAGAACAAAAATTCTGGGCTGGAGCAATAGTACAGCGGGTAGGGCGTTTGCTTTGCACACGGTCAACCCGGGTTGATTCCCAGCATCCCATATGGTCCCCTGAGCATCTCCAGGAGTAATTCCTTAGTGCAAAGCCAGGAGCAACCCCTGTGCATCACGGGGTGTGACGCAAAAAAAAAAAAAATCTGATGAACTGGATTAAAGCTTAGAACTCAAGGATCACTCCTGAAGGGCTCAGGGGACCATGTGGAATGCCAGGGATTGAACCCAGATCATACTAGTTATTTTCTGAATCACAGTATGCCAACTGAAAGATACTAAGGAAAAGAGTTCTTTTAGTTGCCAAAAACATAACACAAAGTTCCCTATTTATGCTGAGAAAATTTAAATTATCTTAAAATATGAATCTATTTGTTATCAACATTTGTTCAATTAAAAACAACCAACAATATATTTTAAAAACTTCTCTTAAAACAAAATATTTAGTAAGTTGTTTTGGGGTCACAGATTGAATATGGGTCTCCCTCTCACAAAGTTTACACTTTCCTTTGAGGTCTCTCTGGTCTGGCTCTAAGAGAGTTACTTTTTTTGTCTGTTTTGGGATCACACCTGGTGACGTTCTGTGCTAACTCCTGGCTAGTGCTAGGAATCACTCCTGGTGGTACTCCAGGGACCATACGAGATGCCAGGGATTCAACCAGGTCAGCTGCCTGCAAGGCAAATGCCCTACCAGCTGTACTATCTAGCCCATTTTTGCAAATTTCCTGGAAATGTGCTGTAATAGAATGCACAAGAATTTTCATTTGTCTCTCCATTCAACACTTTGAGGTAATTCTTGCTTTATAAAATTCCAGAAAACACACTGTAAGAATGGTATGATAAAAAAAAAAAATCACATGAATTTTAGCCACCGGAAAACTCAACAGCATGCTTTCACAATGACAGAAAATATGAGTAATATCTTAGCACTGTACTAAAAACATTTTAGATTTTTATCAGAACCAGGTTCTAACCAACTGCGCTAACTGGTCAGACAAAAATATCTGAGATTTTATAGACTCTCTGAGATCCCTGGATCATACTGGAGAAACTTGTTCTATCTAGATAACCACAAGGTCATAAACACAGGCACTGAAAGTTGTGAAGGGGCTGCAGAGATAGAAGGCTTAAGGTGCTCACCATGCATGTGACCGATCCCAGTCGTACTCCGTACTCCCTCCCCCCCTCCCCGCCCAAAAGAAAAAAAAAAAACCCTGAAGTTTATGGGAGGAAAAAACAAAATTTTTATTGCATTGTTGGAGGAAGAAAGTCTTTGTGTGATAAGGGGTCCAGAGCAGGCTAAACTGCCATCTCTCATAACAGAAAGTCAGTATCAATTCAAAGATAATCAACTCAAAGACTGGAAAGCGGTAGTTCAAGAGAACAAAAGGTGGGAGTTATAAACCCCCCAAATCTTACATTTTGTTCTTGTTAAAAACTATTTGATGTGAAGCATCATGTAGCATACATAACTTGGTGAAAACAGGTCTTTGTGGACGTTCTGGTCTTTGTGGATTCTATGACTTCTGATAAGTTGAGATAAAATAATGCAACTAAATTTATTGTGGCAATCGTTTCACAATTTACATCAATTATGCTATATGCTTTAAACTTATGTAGTGCTATATGCCAATTATGTCAATAAAACTGGAAAAGTATGTTTTCAAAGAAAAAATTAAAAAAGCTAGAGACAGTATAGGAGATAAGAGGCTTGCCTTGCATGTGGCCAACCCTGGTTCACATTGGCACTAGATATGAACCCGAGGGCACTGCTAGGGGTCACTCCTAAGCACAGAGCCAGGAACAGCCCCTGAACACCACTGGGTGTGACCCAACACCCCCCAGCCCTCATCTAAGAAAAAACTCAAGACAAAATACTGCTGTAATAATTTTGAAAGTATGGCCCATTATTTTATCATGAATTTTGCTTCTAATTAATTATCTAATTACTGATGACTTCTCTCTCTCTTGGGACCACACCTATCAGTACTCGGGCTACTTCCAGTGGGGGACCATGAGATACGAGTATTGTACACAGGCTAGCTACATAAAAAGCATGCAGTGAGTCATCATGCTCGCTCAGCAGCCCATAGGTTGCTTTTTCTTTTTCTTTCCGGG